TCCACTTGACTCACCCCCTGATTCCTGCATTGGGTATTCGGCGCCATCGTCGTCGACGAGATCAATAGCGCCTAGTGCCTCCGAGTGTTCTTCCGCCGCCCCCTTCTGCAGGTGCGGGGACGGCTTGTTTTCCATCTCCAGCGGCATGGCCGCTATCGATGATGTGCGGTGGCATTATGTTGACTATCCCCGTTTGGCTGGGCCCCCAGCCCCCCCGGTTTGCCAACCGAGGCCCATGATAGAAATACGTGATGACGCCCCTGCCTCGGAGGTCGGCCTCGCCGGGCTCGCCCCTGCAGCGGTACTCGGGACGGCCACAACAGACCCCGTCCTTATATGAATATTCCGCCATCACTTCTTGCGAGTGCAAGTCCACGGTGGCGCGGTGCCTGACCGCCCGGAGCGGGGGGCCCCCCGCTTGCTCGGGATCGATCAAGCTAGACTTCGCGTTAGTCTCCACACACGCCCATCGCGCTAACCCAATCGGGCAGGCGGGAGCCGCCTCGTCTACCAGACCCAAAGCCTCCCTCACCTCCTCCAATATTGAGGTACGGAGTTTTATCATCTACCGTCAGATCCACCCTCATTCCATGGGGTAGGAGGAGATACGGCTCTTTCCCACTTTTCCAATAGAAACTGCAGCCGTGATCTATGCAAAGTTGGCCCACCGATATCACGCTCGGCGTTTCTGGCATGACAATCGCGTCGAACTTTACCACTCAGTAGCCGGTCGCTGGCAATCTTCACGGCCCCGAGGGCGCTAGACAGCCCCCCAGCCGTGTTCAGTGTGATAGGGGCTTGGAGTTCCTTCATCATGTCGATAACGCCTGCATTATGTACATATTTTAAGGCAATCAGATTGGATCCACAACCGATGTCGATTATGAACCGCATCGATCCATGTTGGACCGTCTCTCTACCCCTTGTTCTACGGTTGTGCTTCTTGGCAGACGCGGCATCGGCATTGCCGCCCCCGCCATCGCCATCGCACCCGCCCTCAGTCGCGGGCGCTGGCGCTCTGTCCAGCCACAACCTCCACACCTCGTGCTCCAAATCGCTCGCGCCATTGTTGGCGAGCTGCTGTTGCACGCGCGTGGTTGTTGCACGCCATTCTTGCCACTTCTTAAGGAAGCTAGACGGACCCCCGTGCTTCGAGGCTATTGGCCTCGGATCGGCCGCCCTGATCTTCCCCAGGGCCCATGGCGTTGGATAACGCGTTGAAGGGTGTATTCTTACCCTCCTATCCGTCCGAACAGTAGCTGGCATCCGTTTGAAGGTGTCACCAGCGTCACGACGCAGGGAACTTCGCCCAGGCTCTCCTGTTTCCAGCAGGTCCAACGCCCCCCATCGGGCACGTTCGGATTCCGCCAGCTATCAGGCATCTCAGCGTCTCGATAAAGGGAGAGCTGTCTGACCATGTGTTACCTGGGCTGGCCATTGGCCCTTGAATCGTCGCCCGGGATTGTGACCCGGCGAAGGGCACAACTGGGCGCGCCAACTGCACCTGTTCTGCGGGAGCCGCGCAGTTCGTCACCGCGACAGCGCTTGCCCAGGCGGCGTCGGCACCGAGGGCGCCAGACGCCGCAACCCCGGGTCATGGGTGTCCGGGAGTGTTGGCCCCGTGCCAACACTTGTCGCCGAAGGGGCACGTCTGGCCGTCCAGGTGGTACCAGCATTTCGATGTGTTCTTACCCTTCTGGCCACCGGACTTTCCGCCGCGTGTCTGCCCTCCGTCTTGAGCGGGAGCTTCCTGTGTTTTCAACGCCTTCACAGTCTTTTCGGCTGCGGCCGTTTGCTCCACATTGCGGCTATACGGCAGTCCTTTTCCAGCCTTCTGGAGGCTTTGCTCCCAGGCGTCACGCTCCTGCTTTTCCTGTTTCGTCAGCGCTCGGTGTTCTCTACCGCGCGACCCATCACAGTTCTGTGGGCCTCGGCTGAAGGCATAGCGAGCGCGATTCTTTCCCTTCGATGGGGCGTTACTACCCCCGCGGCTGCTGCCGCGCCCATCCTGTTTCTTCGAGCGGTCGTGCTTGCCATTCTTGCTGTCGCCTCTGCCCTTGCCCCTGTCTTTCTTGACGATTTTACCTTTGCCCCTTGATTCAGATCTGCCCCCTCTGCCTTTCCCAGCCGCACCTCCATTGGAGGGGCCTGGCGTAGCCACCTGAGTCTTTCCGCTCTTCTGCTGGGATGCGGGTGCAGCTTTCTTGGGGCGCAAGTACAGACATTCATGCCGGCTTAGGGGACATTGCCCCTTTTGCCAGCGTCGGCAGACGACGGACTTCTTGAGCCCCCCATCCTTCATGGCGAGGGAAACCTTGTTCCCCACCTGCCTTTTCACCATTGAGTTTTACCCCTCGCTTGTTGATCTGCTGGTTTTGGATCTTTGTATTATCCCCCCCCCCCCTGTCCTTCAGCATCTGGTTAGCGATCCTCCCCAGCAGCCATTCATACGATTTCACGCCCTTTCCGTAGACATCGTTGATGTTATCATACATTGCAAGAGTCATTGTCATGCACGGGCACTTCTTCATTTGCATGTAGAAGTGACTCTGCATGGAGGGCCTGAAAGACTTGTGGGGTTTCTTCATCTCTAGTGCCACCCTCATCCATTCATCATAGAAGTGGTAGAGGTCCCGATCAGCCTCTTTTCCTTCTCCTTTGATCTGGATGGCCATAAGGTCCTCGTAGGTATACACCTGACCATGGTCTTCCCGAGTGGTGACACGGGCTTGAATGATACGAAGGATCGATATTCCTGAAAGTAGTCCCCCAGCCTTCATTATGGCTGAGGCAGTGAGATCAACCTCGTTGGCAAGGTGCCTTCAGGCATGGGAAGCATTTGGATCCCTTTGAATATTGCTAATATTTGCGATGAGGTCTGCAGCTATCCGCATGTCCAGGCCCCCAAGCTACGGTCCTGGGTATTTCAGAGCCTCAACTTTGACCTGTTTAGGCTCGAACGCCTCGGCTACCCATTTCGTCGCCAAAACACGGTGTTCCTGCGAACTCGATGCCACAGCACGAATGACAGACTTCTTCCACATTCGGAAGGATCCCGCGTCTGGCAGCGGATCTAACGTTATCTGGTCAATTCGATCTGCAGCAACCATGGGGCCATCACGGGCACCAGGCCGCCGGGGTCCGGGAGTCCCGGGCCCCCGCCTCCTCCAGGGGGCCCCGGGGGCGGTGGTCCGCCACCCTCCGGATCGCCTTGCCCAGCTCTCGGAGCTTCAGCGCATCGGCTGACTCTACGGTCTGCAGCCTCCTCATCTTCTTCCTCGGAGGTGTCATCATCTTCGTCCTCGGAGCCCTCCTCCTCGGAGTCGTCTGCATCATCGGAATCCTCCTCGTCGCCATCGTCGTCGTCGCCACTACCATCATCTGGGTTGCCACCCCCAGGCGCGCGACCGGACCCACCCTTCGTTCTCCCCGACTTGTCTCCGTCATCATGGGCATTGCCCTGGTGGAGAGGCTGATCGTCATCCCCTGCGAGGTCCCCCGCAGTGCCGTGGTCTCCTTCGGCCGGGCTGGCGCAGTGCATCCGGGGAAAGTGCTGATCGGCGGTCCGTTCGGTTCCATATGTTCCGCTCTTCTTTATGTTTCTGCGTTTCGCTGGGGGCCAATTCCATTCGATGGCTGTCTTTGTCTTTGGCCTTGGCGGCGGCAATCTCAAATTCTCTCATCATTGCCTCCGCCTTTTCTCGCATTTACTCGGCCTGCGCGCGCAGTTCTTTCCATCGCGCGCGCACGCTGTTCTGTTTTTTCTTCAAGCTCATGAATGCGATGAAGGGCTACGGCCTCTTTCTTAGCCCTCAGTTCGTCTCTGGGCCGACTGACTTCTTCCTCTTCTTGCATCATTTTCTTCACCATGGCTTCCTCCTCTTCGCGCCGCTCTCTCAGCACTGCCTCGAGATCGCGCGCGCGGCCTGTCTCACACTGCTCGCGCCGCCTCGTGACCCACTCAAAGTGCTGTTCACAGAACGATCTCCGGCATCTCTCGCACGTGCGCGGGGCGTCGATCACGTTGCACACAAAGCACTTGGCCCCATCTGA